TATATTTTGTATTTCAATATTATTTATCATATTTCAAATTCTAGTTTTCAAAAATGTGCTGCCTTAGCCATGGCTGATTAAACAAAGTATTTAAAGATTTTGAAAAATAACTTCAGGACAAAAACTCTGTGTGAAAATACTTTTTTTGCGCAAAAAGTTTGGATATGTAGCAAAATGTAAAAAATGTGCTAGAGAAATCAAGACCTGTGGTGGTTTGACTAGTGGACATACACATCTAAGGACTTATCACCAAATAAATTTATTGAAAAATTATCCAGTTGAAGTTTTAATTTCTCAATCAACTGCTGGTGTTTCCACTACACCTGATTTGCATCTTGCTAGACCAAGAAATAAAATTTTTACTTATTTTATGAAAAGCAAAGACAAAGAGACACTACCATATGCTAAAATGACGGCCACCAATGGCCATTCAGATTCATCGATTGCCATTCAGAGTTTTTATAACATCCAATGAGCTAAGAAAATCACTGATTGCTCAAGGTTTCAACATGCCAAAATCATCCAAATCCATTCGCCAAATAATTAAGAAATATGCTACTAAAATTTGAAACTTGATAATAAAAGAATTATCTAAACTTTAATAGCAAGGAAACTGATTTAGTCTTATGTTTGATAAGTGGACTTTTGTAAAAAATAGTTGTTATTTGAACATTAATATTCATTCTAGAAACAGGTTTTAGAATTTGGATTTAGCACAAGTTAATGGACATTTCCCAGCAGAAATGTGTGTTAAGTTAATTGACAACTTACTGAAAGAACACAATTTAATTGTGATATTGTATGTATTACCAATGTTAGTGCTTTCGTAATGAAGAAAGTAGGACAATTAAGGTTCGTCGACAAACAACTGCAAGCAACCGCTATTAATTTGGGAGTTACTAGAAAAAAAAAATAGAGTTATAGAGCAAGAAAACGATTGACAGAAGACTTAAAAAGTTGAAGGTTGTATGAGTCAGGAAAACATGAAGATGAGAGCGAGTCCAAAGGGTTTAAGTGCGGGGAAAAAAACTAAACGTTTTTTTCCCCGCACTTCAAAGTTTTTGGAGCATGTAGGGACAGATACAGTAAAAGAATGAGACTTTGATATATGACGAGTCAAGCAAGAATGATAATAATTTGGCTCCATTAATAAGCAAATGTAGTAAAGCTGTTCAGACGATCACCAACTAAAAATGAAATCCTTCAAGTTTATGTAAAAACTGAACATGGTAAAGAACTGTCATTAATATTAAATAATAAGTCCTGTTGGAACAGCTTACTTTTTATGCTAGAGCGTTTTAATAAATTAAAAAAATTTTCTTCTATCAGCTGATACTACCTTGGCATTTATGCTGCAAAACTTGGACATAGGAACATTAAGTAACAATATGAAGACCTCCTCTTTTTTTTTTTAGTTTTATTTAGTTAAGAAGTCTTTATGGTCTTAATAGGAATCTTATGCCTCCTTTCTAACCAATGTTGCAAAACTTGCCCAGAGGTGGAGTTTGAACCACAGATCCTTTGCTTCTGAGGCAAGTGCGCTACCACTGCGCCACAGCTGCTACGTTATGAGCCACAGCTCCTTAATTAAAAGAATAAAAGAAAGATGCACAAATTTATTTCATTCAATATCTTTATAAATGAGATCAAGCCCAAAATAATTTTGGTTCAGATATTATATTTGATGGGCTAACTAAAACTGCTTTGGCAAATTTAATTGTGCTATCCGAAACAGATCATGACAAAGATACTATAATGTGCCAAGATGAACCTTTGAGCTTGGCATTACAGGAGTAGTTGGACATGGTCAAAAATAATGAGATAAAAATGAAAACAGTACCAAAAACAAATCAAAATATTAAAGATTTGACTAAAATGATACGAAAAGAAATTTCTATATTTGAGGAAGATGGTGCACATGGTGCCAACTTGAAGTTGGTATACAAATATATTTTAACTATTCCCCCAATGAGTGTGGAAGCTTTTTTTTCATTGGGAATATTATGTACAAAAATTCGATCATTTTTAAATGACTAAACTTAAATAATTTATGTTTTTTGCAGACCTATTTCAATAATAAATGATTTTTTTTTGTGCTTTTCGTTTTTTTTTTTTTTTTTTCAAATGAATTAAATTTATAGATTATTTTAAACTTAAAAAAAGTTTTTGAACTGTTTATTTGTTGCTTTGGGTTTTAATATTTTTTTTAGTATTTGTAAATATCGGTATTAATACTGGTATATCGGTTTTCACTAAATCTAAAACAAAAAAACCGGTATTCAATTTTTGGTCCGGTATTGGAAACCCGTGTCCAACTAGGTGCAGATTAAACATGCAACAAGATAATGACCCAAAACATACATACAAATACTGTACAAAGTCTTTTGTATTTACGAGCTTGTAGTCATTTGTATTTACAATCTTGCCGTACAAGTCACCTGTCTTACTTTTGATTTTTTAATGTATGTTAATATAACTAGCTCAATGTTCATATCAATCCCACAATTTGATATGTATAATTTATCTTATTTGTTGTTAATAGTTGATAAAATGGCTACCTGCTCATGTTGAGACAGTAAAAATAAGCTAAACAACTTTTGTTATATATGCAGTGAATATACTGCAATAAAGTAATGTATTAATGATTTGAAGGCTGTATGCTGCTTAATTTGATAAAAATGTAGATGTGTCCATTTGGGCACCACAAAATTGTTATACTAGCTGTTCTTCATTTAAGCCATTGATTAAATACTGGCTACTCCATGCTATTTGGGATTAATATGATCTGAAATGAGCCATAAAATCATTTCAATGATTGTTATTTTTGTTGCATTAATCATTCTCTTATTGCCAATAGAACTAAAAATACATCATATTTAAATGTTAAATCTGCTTATTATACAATACCATACTCATATTCAATACTAGTACTTAAGAAACCTGATTACTTGTTGAAGAAATACACACTGAGTTGTATACACAGATAATGACCAATGCATTGTACATAAATATAATGATTTCCTTCCATAAGGATCAGATTTAAATTATGACAGACCTCAATTATTTTTACAACTTAAATCAAGTGATTTGATCCAAGATATGATGGTGACTAAAAATCATAGTAAACTGCAAGCATCAAGATTAAAAGTTACAAATTCTCAATTGAATTTTACATGCTAAATGTTAAAACTATGTGTGTGTGCACTGTTGTTTAGCTAAATATCAAATGATTTTTTTAGTCTTATTTATCAACTATTTTATTTTTAATATTTAAAAAAAAAATTCTTTAAATTAGCAGTAAAAATTTAGAACAATTTAGAACTTATAATTCATAGAACTACCAACTATCACTGTAGTTTCTATACATGAACAATACACAACGTATAAAAATAAGAAAGTATAAATAAATATTCAAGCTTTTAAAAAAATTTTTTTTTGAATTTTTTGTTTTGTTACATATTAACAATCAGTTACCATTTTTTCCGGTTGCGTATTTAATGATTATCTAAAAAATCTAAAAAATATTCTAAATACATAAAAATAATCATCAGCAAATGTGCTGATCTGAAAATAGTTGCAATCGTAACTTCCAGTAGGATACACTAAGTTCTGCTGTTTTCTTTGCTTTTAGGATTTATAAACAAGAAATTTTTTAGTTGAGTCAAACAAGTTTTAGTTGAGTTTTAGTTGATGGTGCTAGAGATGATAGCTGTTTCTTTGCAGCAATCATGAGCATTTGCAGAAAAGAGAAATAGATACAACCTTACAACAATGAAGAGTGGCCTAAGCTTGGCAAGTAGAGTGGGTCCGACTATATTTATAATCCATATTTGGACCTTGTGTCCACAATATTGTGATGCAGTAAAAAAAGTTTATTATTATTAAAAACTCAAAAAAATCAAAAGTTCTACTGGATAAAATTATTATTATAAGCTTCAAGGGTTCTAGATAGTCAATCCCTTCTCCAAAAAGATAAGCATCATAAAGAACTACTTCTGCTAGTGCTTTGCTTAACAAAATTCTGTGAGCATGTGAGTAAATATTGATACAAAATTATAAAATTGATTTAAGCATCAAGCGAACCATTGAAATGTTAAATATTTATGTTAAGCATCTTCAAAAAATTCTCATCAAATGCTCAATCAGAAATAAGGTGTAATTTAATAATTATATATATTATAAACTATATAATGTGTAATGTTATAATTATATATATTATAAACTATATAAAAATATATAGTATAAAATCTTCACTTGTATGTGAAGTTATATAAAATCCTCACAATTACATGAAAATAAAATTGTAAAAAACATTTTGTAACATTTTTCAATCGTTTAATTCATTAATATTTAAAACAAATAAAAACAGTTTTATTATAATACTATTAATGCAAAACTTCACCAGTAATAAATGAAAATGTTGATTTCATATTAGTTTAATGCCTCTTTTCATATTAGTTTAGTGATATTTTTTAATTTTAAATTTTTTTTATTGTTGGTGTCTTTTTTCTTGGTTTTCCTAACTTTTCTGATCATTTGGCTTGCCTTTTTTTATAAAAACATAAAACTAGTCTACAAATAAACTTCCATTCAGATGATTACAAACTAGAACTTGTGTAGAATGTTTTATAAGTAAAAGATTTTGTAATTAAAATTTACAACTTTAACATAAAAATAATGTTGAAAATCAAGTTGATCAAAAACATTGAAAAAAAAGATTTAGGAAACCAATACTTTACTATTTACGTCACAGAAAATTGAAAAACAACATTTAGGAAACCAATGTTTTAGTATTTACGTCACAAAACCATGAAAATAATTTACAACACTAAATTTTAATTCAAAAAAGAGACTTTATAATGAAAGTATATTTCTTGAATTAAAAATAAAAAATTTAATTTATGAAAAGAGTATTATCCATAAATGTTTTATAAATTTATGACTTTAAGATATTAAAGCAAATTATAACATCACTATAATAAACAAAATAAAAAACTTACTGATTTACTTTTAGTTTCGATATGTCCCAAAATATTATTCATGTAATTTTCTACCAGTTCATCAACATCTTTTAACTCAGAAGTTTTTTCTTTAAATGTTTGATTTCCGTTTATCAAGACAACTACCTAAAGTATTAATGAAGATTATAAATAAGACTAAAATAATAAGACAAAAATAATTTTTGAATTATAACACAACTTTTATAAACATTTGTTATCTTTAAAAAATAAAAAGTTAATAGTTTCAACATTGTTGGTCGAAAAAAAAATTTGTATATAGCAGGAAAAAAAATTAAATATCAATATAAATTTTTTGATATTTGATGATTTAGATATTAAAATAATTTCAATGGTTTGTTGATGTATCAGGGAAGGCAGGTTTTTCCAGAAAAAAATTACCACTTAATGATTTTTTAATAGATTTAAAGTTAATTAATTAATCTTAAATTGAAATTCTTTACTCCGATTTTTTTTTTATATAGAATATGTATCAAATAACAATTTTATAATAAGAAATTTTTCTGATACTTAAAAAAAAGTTACCAATCAGTAAAAAATAACTCATTGAATCATTAAAAATTACTCATTGAATCAGTAAAAATTACTCATTGAATCAGTAAAAATGGAAGTTAAAAAAGTCACCTTCTGACAGGAAAGTTAAAAAATCCTTTTTTAACTTGTTGTATGAGTTGTAAATAAATAAATGTAAATAAACAATGTAAACAAACAAATTTGATTGAATATTGTTATTCAAGTTAATTTTTTAGCAAAATAAAATTATATTTATAAGTTCTTGATAATAAAATCATTCAATCGCGAATTCAGGAATCAAATAAGTCCTAATACATTATAAAGGCAGAAAAGGATATAAAAAATTTCAATAGTAAATGTTAAGCTTAATAGTCTAGGAAACATCATTAAAAAATATAAAAAAATGGACACCATCAAATGTTTGCAAAGAAAAAGATATCTAGCTAAGACTAATATGCGTTGATAGAGAAATTATTCAGAGAGTTGAATAAAATCAAGGACTATCACCACCAAAGATAGCAAAATATTTACTTACAGATCAATGGTATAACTGTTAATCCTGTAAATTCAACTGTTAGCAATTGCTTATTCTATATACTTTTAACTCATTTTTTCTCGGTGTTGGCAAACTCGAGTTCATTGATGGAATAATGACAAGAGTTTTATATTGATATTATGAAATGAAAATTAAGATTAAGCAAAGTGTAAGTCTCATAATATCATCAACAGGATAGAGTTCCAAAATATAGTTTGAAGTTAGCTACTTAGTGGTTTAAAAACAGTGTTAAGATGCTAAGACTAAGAGATGTGATAAGATTAGGTTACTAAGTCAAGAGACTTAAATCCAATATAAAATTTATAAAACATTTTTAAAGTAGATGAACACAAACCATCCAATTTGTCTCAAATAAAGGCAATTCTCACCAAGTAGTGGGAAAAACTTGACAATGGCTAAAAATATAAGTATGCAATGGCTAAAAACTTACTAGATTCAATATCTGAAAAATGTCTTGCAGTCATTTAGGCAAAAGGCAGACATTGATTATTAACTTTCTATAAGCAAAATAATTATTCAAAGTGTGATTTTTTTTGACTTTGACTTTATCTGATTTAAGGGATAGTTTCTTTTTAAGTATAAGAATATGAATTTCTTATACTATTTGGTACAAAAAAAATTTAAATTCAGACATAAAAAAATTTCTTTTTATTAAAAAATCATTAGGGGGTGATTTATTTTACTCTCTTTTTTAATATGATGTTAAAATTTTAATATAAGTTTTATATATGTGTGTATAAGGTCTTGCTTCATAAACAAGAAGTTTGGAGTTCAACCCCCACCACATCCCTGGTAGTACTGCCCTCAAGTTGTCTCTCCACACAGCCTCCTTGTTTGTCAAGGTTTGTGTTTCAGAGTTATAGAGTTGAGAGACGGTAGTAACCACAATAAAAGTAGCTCACTTGATTGTAATAGCCATTTCAGCCTTGGAGAGATGAATTTACATTAAAAAATATGTAAACACACCATTTTTTTTCAAACTTTTAAGCAATGAGGTTAAACTATTAAATTTTTAGAGATAAAATTTTTCAAGTAATGACAAATTGTGTAAAAAAAATATTGATTCAGATGCATCATTAAGACAGTTTAACATCAAACATTAAGGGGTAATCAGATTTTATCAGCTGACCAGCATCGCACCCCTTCTTTATCTATTAGACTACGTAATCAATGAGCCATTTATTATACTATGTAATCAATAAGCCATCTACCCTTCATCTTCTAGGATTAACTCTTACTTCTGATCTTTCTTGGAAACCGTATATCAAATCCATTACAACATGAGCATCTGCTAAGGTTGCATCTCTTTATCGAGCTTGACACTTACTTACTCCATATCCTATTCTTTATCTCTATAAATCTCAAATCCAGCTTTTTATGGAATACTGTTGCCATATCTGGGGCAGATTTTCTAATGATGCCCTTACTTTTTTTGGACAAGGTGCAAAAACGCATTGTAAACATAGTTGGACCTGTTCTTGCAACCAACCTCTATCCATTATCACATCGTCCTAATGTTGCTTTACTATTTCTTTTCTACAAATAATATATTGGGCACTGCTCTAAAGAGCTAGCGTCTCTTGTGCTATAATCTAAAATTCATTCTCGTGTTACTCGTCATTCAAGTATCATCCTTTTTCTATGACTGTTCCTAAGTGCTCCAAAAACCCTTATTCCTCTAGTTTTGTCCTCGAACATCAGTTGTTTGGAATTCGCTTCCTTCATCTTACTTTCCTGATTCATATAATTTACAATCTTTTAAATCATCTGTCAATTGTTATATTGCTCTACAATCTTCATCTTTTCTCTTCCAGTAACTTCCAACTCTAATTAGTGGTTGCTTGCAGCCTTGTTGGAAACAAAGATGTTTAAAAAAAAAACTTATTAATATTTTAACTAAATGTGGTAAAAGAATAAAATATTATATATTCTTAAGGAATACACAGGACAAAAATGTTCTAAAACACCGAAAAATCTTGTAAATACAAATGACACTACACTGTATCCAATCATTAAATATTGAGGAGGACAGATAGCAAATCTCAACATTAATACTAACAGCTTAACTAACTAGCCTATATACTTATTTGAAATCTTTTTATCTTTTCAAGTAATTCTAATTTTTTGTATTAAAAAGAAACTAATAGAAAATTTAGGTGGTTGAGATGCTTCAAGATTTCTGCACATTTATACTCTGTTATTAAAGTTCACAACACTGGATTCACACAGAGAAAACTTGTATTTGATTTATATCATTTGAATTAAGTTCTAAAAAAGATTTCTTCAGATATTTATTACTCTAATGTCCAAAATGATGTTTATTAGTTTGGCTGAAAGATATGATTGGCTGAAGTCTATATTGTTGATAAAAAAATAATAACAAAAGCAATAAAAATAATAAATAATACAGATAACAAAAAAATTGTTTTTGAACGTTTATTTTAATAGTTAAAGAAAATTAAAAATAATAAACTTTTACCTGTTCAAGTAAACAATCTAATATTATGTTTACATTTTCACTCTGTGTTGGAAAAAAACTCATCAATTTATTGTAATAACGCAAATCATTAACTTGTAAACAAATTTCTTCACCTGTTTAAAGTAAAAATATATTATAAGATTTACATTAACTTGTTTCTTTGAACAGCAACCTAGTTGATCAAAGTGTTTTGAAGGTAAAAAGTTGAGAGAAGGATTATATTAAAACCAAAGTATTTTAACTAGCTTCAGTTTAATAAAAGAAAAAAAATTAAAAGTTTTAACAAAAAAACAAACAACTACTATATGATTAAATTTTATTTTATATGAACAATTTTTAATATAATTAGTTACTATAAATAGTTATTAGTTATGATTCTGTAAAATATACTTTTTCTTAGTTTTTTGTTATAAAATTATTATATATCTTTGTTTAAATTCAATATCAGTATTAAGATATAACCCACTTAATTTAAATATTTCAAGTATAGATTGTGACTAATAATAAATTATGAAATTTGATACAAATTATGTTAACTATAAACCTGCAGCTCCCTGTTTTAGTAAAACATCAGATTTAAATATGCTCTTATAGTTGTGTGATATATACATATATATATATATATATATATATATATATATATATATATATATATATATATATATATATATATATATGTGGGTTTTAGACGGCCCAATGATACAGTATATATATATATATATATATATATATATATATATATATATATATATATATATATATATATATATACGTATTTACTTATATATTTATTTATACATTTAAATATATATATATATATTTATATACAGTGCTGGCTAGTGGCATGTGCAAAGTGTGCAATGCACATAGGCAACAAATTTCTAATGGGCGACAAGTTTTAAGATCAGCAGTAAATGAATAATTACCAAAAAATACGTCGCTATAATATTATTTGATCATTATTTACATATGTTTAAAATATCAACATTTTAATGTTTGATTTTTGTCAATGGAAGGTGAAAAATCAAATTAAAATAGAAAATCAAGCAAAACTGAAGAGCCATCAATGGTTAGCCGTCTTTATACTATTCTTGCAAATTTAACTAGCATGCTCCCTTTTTTTTACATGAAAAGAAATTTCTGTTTGGCCTTAGACTCTTACAAACCATGAAATTCAAGAAGTAGTTATAAAGAGTCCTGTAAATCGTCAATCAAACAGCTACCTAAGAAATTGCAAGAATCATTTATTTAGCTCAAGTTTTTTTCCCAGAAAAATTTCAAACAGTAAAAGTCATCCTAAATCATGGCTAATTTATAATACATTTCCTATGTAAGAACAGGATCTGGTGACTGGAGGCATTTATCACAAAACTTAAGAAGGCATAAAGTTAGTATCGATCATATTGAAAGCTTTGGAAAATGAGTTTTAGCCAAACTTATTTATGTTGTTTTTCTAGTAAACAATCTAAAAGAAAATATGTATATAAAAGTTTCACTAATTCTAAAATACAATTTAATTCTTAGAATTAGGATCTATTTGTAGACATAAAAACAAGTTTTTACTTTCAAAATACAATACTGGTAATTAGACAGCAATCCCATAATCGTCCCATCAGTCTTCTTTCTTTGAGTCTTTGATAAACAAATTTCTCACATCGCATCTTAATTAAAATAACTTGCTGTTAGACAATCAGTAGAGTTTTCGATCCTCATGCTCTATGCCTGACAACCTTTCATCTAAAGCAGCTCTTTTTGCTGATGACACAACTTTATACCTCTGTCTTGAAAAAAACTCTTTTGATCTCTTAGAAAAGGCAGCCAATCTCGAATTTGATTCTGAAACAGATTGGGGCTAACAGTGGTTTGCAAATTTTAACTCCAATAATACTCAGTTATTTACTGTAAACAACTATCGCAGTACTGTTGACATTCCTACACTAATGAATGGCAACCCTCTCACTGAGTCCTCTTCTTTACATCTTTTTGGATTATTGTTTACTACTGATCTTTCATGGAAAACATATATAAAATCGATTGCTAAACTAGCATCTGCTAAGGTTGCTTCTTTTTATTGTGCTTGCCATTTTCTCTCTCTTGATTCCATTCTCTACCTCTACAAATCTCTTATTCATCCTTGTATGGAATACTTTTGTCATATTTTAGCTGGTTCTTCTAATAATGCTCTTTCTTGCCTAGATAATGTCCTAAAATGCATTGTAAACATAGTTGGACCTGCTCTATCTGCTAATTTTGACTTTCCCATCATTGTAGTGTTGCATCTCTTTCTCTTTTCTACAAATACTATCATGGTTGCTGATCAAAGGAAATGTCATCTCTAGTTTCGTCAACTAAAACTCAATCTGACTTGACTCGTCATTCAGGAAAGTCTCATTCTTTTATTGTATCATTCCCTGCAAATTCTAAAAACTTTTATTCATCTAGTTTTTTTCCGCACTTCAACTCTCTCCCACCTTCATGTTTTCCTGACTCATAAAACCTTCAACTTTTTAAGTTTTCTGTCAGTCGTTTTTTGCTCTATAACTCTATTCTTTTTTTTTTAGTAACTCCTAACTCAATAGAGGTTGCTTGTAGCCTTGTTGGGAGTGAATCAGAATTAAAAATAAATGCTGTTATAAGATTTTAAACTTTTTTTATCTGTTTTGTTTTGTTTTAATGACAGAGATTCATCAGGAAGGTTCAAGGATTGACTAATTTATTATTGCATTTATACCTCTTTGTAAATCCCAAAGACAACACTTGCCTAAAGAAATTTTTCACGGCCCAATAAATGACACTTTATCTATACTAGGAAAATTCAAAAAGTTTCCATGTTTTGAGTATATAAAAGAGATAATATTAATCAGAGAATAACTGGAAGCTGTTTAGTAAGCAAACTTGAATATGTTCATGGTACTAAAAAATACCACTGGCACAAAATGGGAACAAATGAACTTCAATGTTTAGACACCACACGAACTGATTACTAGTCAGCTAGGTCAGTAAGCAACCACCAGCATAAATCTGAAAAAATCTAACTAGTCATCTTATTGGTTTTTTTTTTTATTATTAATAATTTATTATTATAATTATTTATGAGAAAATTAAAACCTAACAATAATGCACATATATATATATTTGTAATTAATGATAAAATAAAAAGATAAAAATAATATATAAATATATAAATATATATATATATTATATATATATATATATATATATATATATATATATATATATATATATATATATATATATATATATATATATATATATATATATATATATATATATATATATATATATATATATATATAATTATTTGTTTTCATGCATTTAATAAAATTCTGGCGATTTTTCATTAAGTTTTTATTTACTAAATGAATTAAGTAATTATTATATCTTCCTGTTGGCTTGACAAGGTTTTAACTGAAACTTTTTATATAAGGAGAATTAAAAAAAAAAAACTTTTTTTTTTTTATATGCATTAAAATTATTTATTTTATTTTATTGTTTGTTTATGTACTATTATTTTGGTTGACATATAGATGCTAGAAAAGATTTAAATATTTAAAAATTTAACTTAGCAGCAAAGCGCAATAAGGGGGTGTGGGGAGGGGTGTCACTTTTGTGATTTTTAGTCAGCAAATTTGACCCTTAGTCGGCAAATGTGACCCTTTTTGACTAGTTAGTTGGCAAATGTAGACCCTGTCAATAGGTTAGTTGGTAAGATCAGTCGGCAAAGTCGTTATGGCATTCGGGAAATTTTAAAAAACGAGGATCTTTTTTTTTTATTATTATTATTTTCAAGACCGCAAAAGTTGTTATGGCACCCCACCCCCCCTCACGTGACCCCTACTCGCGCCCACCCTGCTTAGCAGCATTATAAAAATTCAACCTTATAAAAATAAAGCAATACGCATAAACGTAAGAAGTGTAAATAAAAACTTCGACAAACCAATTACTCAATTAAGTAATAATAAAGATGTAAAACTAAAATATTTTTCTGAAGTTGCTCTTGGTCTTGCGAAAAAATTATTACCGGTTTGATAACTTTCATGAATGTTATGAAAAATCACTCAAGAAGAGTGCCACCAGTTTTTAAAAAATTTCTTTGTTAATTATTTTTAATGAATGGGTTCAATATTTATGCAATTTATTTGTTACGTAACTCTAACTCTTAATAACAGATTTAAAAAAATCATGATAACCGCTCGATAATGTGATGTAATTTAAGTAAAAAATACAGTATCAAAAAAACAAGTTTATTTTAAAAAAGTTTTTATAAAAATTTTAAATTGGTATAGAATTATCTGCATTTTGTAAAAGTTACTAATCCAAACTGCTTTACTGATTTGCAGAAATGAGACCTACAAGTTGAATTTGTTTTTTTACCTAGTTTTCCGTGTAACATAAGTGCAAGTGGCATTTTTAGTAATAAATTTGCTTTCTTTCGGCCAAACACAAAACTCTTAAGCTTATTTTTTTATTAGACTAACAGCTTTCATACAAAATTGCTAAAAGTTTAATTTAAAAGTTTAAATAAGCTAATATTTGGTAAAGTTGTTGTGCGTGTAACATTAGTTAAAAATGGAATTGCCTATATATGTTATTTTAATGTTTCTATTTTCTCATTAATAACTATAATAATAAATTATTAATAATAATTAAAAAAAGATGAGCAATTAATTTTGTTTTTTCAGCGCCATTTTAAGATGCGTCATTTTTAATAAATGCAAAAAAAATCGTGGCCATGTTATCAACAAAAAAATATATTTGTGTGGTCATTCAAGGCGTGCGACCGCACGCGTCTCCTGAGAAGGCCTGCCTAAAAGTTTGGAGTTCGCAAAGCAACATCTGAATTGGTCTATCAAAAAGTGGCATAACATATTATGGACCAATGAATCAAAAATCGTTTTTATGGAGGTACAGGTTCCAGCTTTTTTAGGTAAGATGTCCAGCTAATACAGAATTTCAGAAAAAATATACCATGAAGTCTGTAAAACATGGTGGAGCCAAAGTCATGGTATGGGGCTGCTTCTCATATAATGGTGTTGGCCCTATTAATAAGATTAATGGTATCATGGACCAACATATATATGTCAACATATATATGTTGTATATATATCAACATATATACAACATATAGCAGTATATATATTGACATATTTACATGCTTGTATATATATCGATATATATACAAGCATAGGGCAGCATGATATATAACATCATGCTGCCCTATGTTGTTGAAGTCATGCCGCAAAAATGGATCTTCCAACAAGACAACGACCCAAAATACACAAGTCATATAGCAAAAAAGTGGTTTCAGGTCAATGGGGTTGAGGTTATGGAGTGGCCTGCTCAGTCATCCAACTTAAACCCCATTAAAAACATATGGGGAGACGTTAAAAAAGCAGTTTCTGCTGCTAAAACAACTAATGCTCAGCAGTGATGGATAGCTATTCAACAAGCATGGTACGCAACATCCCAAGAAAAATGTCAACGCCTTGTTGACTCAGCCATTATTCAAAACAAAGGTTTTGCAACAAAAAACTAAGGGAAAGTATTATTATATTATACCTAATTTTAACTTTTTAATTTTAAAAAACTAACTTTTTTAATGCTTAACTATAGTAAAAAAAATTTTCCATTTTCAGATACGACTGCTACTTCAATGACTGCAAATTAGCAAATTTGATGATAAATTTGTATCTTCAAGGCTGCATTTAAATGCAATTTTCAAATGTGTAAATGTTAGTGATAAAATATGTAAGTTTATTTGGTTGCTGTTCTCCCCAAACTCTAAAGAGGTCTCAGCATACAGTAATTCTCCATCCAATCTCAGAAAACGTGTTGAGGTTAGTGTTATATATACACTACATATGTGTGTGTGACTGTGTGTTTATTTGTTAATTAAATTATTTTTACCAAAAAATTAACTTTCAAATTCTTAATTCATATGATCACCGCCTTAAAAATTTTTAACTTTTACTAAAATTGCATAAACATTTTTTTTACATTTTATTGTTTTTCTTACTTTAGTTTTTTTATGATGATTTTGATTCTTTAGTAGAACAAGAGTAGTTTTACTTGTAGTAACTAAATGAATAATTTCTTTAGTAAGTTGCATAAAGTGAAACTTTTTTAAAGATAACTTAATTCACTTTTCTTTACAAAGCATAACAATATTTATTTAAGCTTTTGTTTTGGGATGCAATGACCTGCTCAGGAGAGAATATCTATTAATTCTTTTTTATGTGGAACTCATCAGTTATTAATTTGAGTTAAATTAATTATCATTGTGGTATTTATTTTTATTTATTTTAATTATGGGTTTATTTTTTAACAAAATATTGCATAATTCAGTTGACTATATACTTATATCATGTTATAATATTTTTAATTTTATAGAGAATTCATCCAATGAAAATAAAAGAATATGATAGACTTATTGCAAGCAGAAAAAGAATAATTGATTCTGATAAGATTCAACCAGTTAAAATTCAGCTTACAATAAACAACCAATCTTTTTTGAGCAAAATAGATAAAGTTGTCCCACAGAAAACATTAGATGAATCAATTATCATTTTATAATTACAGATCTACAGCCATTTAACACAACTGAAAAATTGGGTTTGAATAAGTTGGTAGCTTCTCTGGCTCCAAATCACTTATTTGTTGAAAAACAGTCATGATACAAGTTGGAGAAAGATATCAGGCTATGTGTCAAAATCTCATAGATCTCTGGCAGAAACTGCGTTATGTTGCAATTACAACAGATATGTTGGTCAGCTCATCATCGTTCTTACATTGGAATTACAGTTCACTGGATTGATAAGTCGACTAAAAAGAAGATCAGCAGTACTTGCATGCAGATGTTTAAAAGGATGTCACACCTATGATGTGGGATGGAGATGCAGATGTTTAAAAGGATATCACGCCTATAATGACATAAACTGTATTAGAAAAAGTACATTCTAAACTTGGGATTCAAGATAAAACCACCAAAACCACAATTGATAATGGGTCAAAATTTTTGCAAAGCTTTTAACCTATACTCACATAAGTTAGTTTGTAGCCCTGAAATTTCCTATTCATATGAATATGATAGACCTGAAAATATTGATGAGGAAGCAGAAATGGATTTTGAGTGCATTGATGATATAATAACTAATCATAATTCAACAACAGAACTTGAGTATTATCTTCCACCTCATCAGCAGTGTGCTTGCCACTCACTTAATTTAATAGTTTCTCATGATGTGGCAAGTGCAGACAATGATACAACTTATAAAAAACTCGCACAATATTCGCAAAATGCCAGGCATTATGGAACAAACATTCACATAGCAATTTATTCGCAGAAATAAATATTGATTTAATTTGGACTAAAGTTTATTGTTCTGAACCTTGGTTAGTTGCATTGATTTCGCAATTAACAGACAATTCAGTCATTACATGATGAGCCCAGAATTAATAGCTGCAGCAGTTATTTACTCGAAATTTAAAACGGTATGGATAAATGATGATGAACATAAAAAAAAGGTGGTCTGGAATTTCTGGAAAACAAATATTAACAACTAATGGTAACCTATAGTGATGCTATCAATTCCAGTTCTGTGGAAAAAGCAACAACATCTGATGAAAATTTTTTTCACTTTCAATCACAGTACTTCTGCTAAAAACATTTTAAGATTAAAATAATGTAAACACCTCACTTGATGAACTTTATAACTCTAAACCCCTGAAACCCATCTTTCTAGAACTAAACACTGCATTGTCTGCGAGTACAGCCTGTGAATGTCTGATTAGTGTAGCAGGGAGTGTTTTTAGGCCAAATTGTATAACAATAATGGATCAACACTTCAAACAGCAACTGTTATTGCATGTTAATAAAAACATTTCAAAAGACTTTTGATTTCATAATGACATTTTAGGATTAAAATTGAATATTTTTTTTTTATTTTATTTCTATATTAACTAAAGTTTTATTTGAAAAATGAAAACATTTTTTTTTTATTAAAAAAAGTACTTTTTACTTTGTAACGAAAAAGTATTTTCAATGTATTTTACTTTTTTACTTTAGTATTTTGGTTTGCTGATACTTTTTACTTCTACTTAGTTACGTTAAGCACCAGTACTTTCACTTTTTACTTAAGTACATTTAAAAAGTAACGACCCCAGCCCTGTACATACTCCATCAAAGTATTGTATTAAAAACAAATTAAAATAAAGTTATATACATAGAAGTTTTTATTTATACTTAAATAATTAAATTAATTATACTTAAATAATGAAATCTTTTAGTCAGCTTTTATTACAAAACAATTTTTAACTTTTTTACTTGTTAATTCTAATAATAAATGCATAGAAAGTTAAACCTATTTATATACAACTAACTGCATATAACTATGGCTTCTACCATACCTGGTAATTTAGTTGGAGTTGTTTCAACTAAAGGAGATAACAATAAATGTTTCGAATAAGACACATCCAAGATATTGATGCAATTTAAATAAAGCTGATAGTCTTCGTATGACTCAAGATATTTATAACAAATCTGAGATAATCTATCAAATAACCATGCAGCAAACAGGTTCTTTGGTCATTAAGAATAAAAATAAATTTTAAACAGAAATCAAATTTAATGAATATTATTAAATATAGTATCAACATTTTCACATAAAGTATACATTATTACTCAAAAAAATATATCATTATTAAAACCATCATTATGAAAATACATTACAAGTCTCTATGGTTTATTTTAAGAAAGTTTTTTAAAAATATGTTAATATAGGTCTCAAAAAAAGTAAAATTATATAGAATTATATAGAAATTTCAAATATAATAATCACTTTATAAAAATATTAATATTTTAGACTGCATTGCATAAAAATATTTTTTTTTAATAAAACTTAAAAATTTTCAATTTTATATTATTTTGTTCAAGATTTTTCCAATAAAAATTATTATGGAAATTTTTGTATAACTTTACTTCTTTTGAGACATTTTTGTTGTTTAAAGGTGTAGAGCAAGCCCTTATTATTATCTCAAAATTTGAAATAATTTTCATAAACTACTCTTTGAAATCTAAGGTCTTTTTTAGTATAGTATAAATAGTATTTTTTTTATTATAGAAAATATTTAGAGGTCGGAGAATAAAAAAATGTATTGTTGTAAAAGCATCATAATATAAATCAAAATTAACATTTAAAAAACAATAGCATTTCTATTATTATAATACTGCTATTGTTTTGTAAATATTAATTTTACAATATACTTTGGTTATACTCATTTCTTAAAGATACAATTAACTTTTCTTTTCTTATAAAAAAAAATCTTGAATAATGTATAATGAATCTTGTATATTGGTTAAAAATAATAGTTATCAGTTACTGATTTTTTTTTTGTCGGCTGCTTTGTCAGATTTGCTTTTAGAACCTAAGAAAGATCAATCTATTAAAAAATCTTCTATGCCTTAAATGCCTTTGGTTAAGGTTAGAAATTATGACTATTTAATGCTCTTGATTGAGGCTAGAAACTATGACTATTTAATGCTCTTGACTGAGGCTAGAAATTATGACTATTTAATGCTCTTGATTGAGGCTAGAAATTATGACTTTTTAATGCTCTTGATTGAGGCTAGAAAATATGACTATTTAAAATATTTATCAGCTTAAACTTTATAGGTATGATGGGTAGTCTTTATAGGCATGATGTTGTAATACCTCCTTATACAAAGATAAAGCAAACAGATTTTTTTTATTAAAACTAGCTTAATTTTATATTACTTCATGTCTAAGATTAATACTGGATTTTAATTGATAAAATGATAATCTGTATAAGTGTTCTTTAAATAGCTATGCAATTACAATTACAAAACCTATTTTGGGATGATTATAAAGTTGATTGGTAGTAAGGTTTTTCTATCTCTATGGTAGCTTACTTAGAATTTAGGTTCAGCAAGGATTGGAAACCTGTTGTTAAACCTTTAGACTTATTAGGTTAGTATCAAACTATTGCATAATTTATTAGGATGTCAAATATGAACCTTGTTTCAGTTCTCTTTGAAGTACTAAAATTAAAAAAAAAAATTATTTAAAATGTAAAACATTTTTTACATTATTCAAGGTTTTTAAAACAACTCCATTAAAATTTTAAAAATTACACAAAACCTTCTAACTCTCCAATAAAATATTTTAAAACTATTTAATAAATTCTCAAAACTATTTTATCTGTGCCTGTTTTCTTGTTTGCTGGAAAGCCACTGGTAAAATTTTCAACTACAAAAATATCAGAGCAGATCATAAATGGATCACATGATTAATTAATAAGTCAATTATTTAATCTATGAATTTATTTTTTAAAACTTAGATCTTATCAACTTAGATTATTCTATTGTTCATTTTGTTCAAGGTAATATTCACAAGATTTTATTGGAAGATTTAACATATTAAAAAATAAGAATAATAAAACTTGTAAAAAGTTAAGTTAAAAAGTTAAAAAAACAAAAAAATATACTTTTTTATCCAGATCAAGACTACTAAGCAATTGCTCTGGAAAACATTCTTTAGAAACATAGAATTCCAATATTGCTACATCACATAACAAGTTATTAAAATCTTTAGAGTTAAATATTGCATTGATGTCTTTCCATAAGTTAAAATTTTGATCAACAATCGGCACATCTACTGTACTTACATCATTTATCTGAAAATAGTTTATGAAGGATAGAAAATATTTGACTTATTTAAATCATATATATTTTTAAATTATATATTATGTCTACGGGAAAGTTCTGTCCATTTCTATAAAAACAATTTTTGACGGGTTAGCACATGTTTCTTTAGTGCATGTTCACCTCATTATTTTTATTGATTAAAGTATTCATATAAACATAGCAAAGTAATTTAAACAAAGTTATTTTAAGTTTTTCTTTATTATAAAGTGATAGTGTAAATATAGCTACTGATAAAGTTAATTTACGTCACTGTATTTTACACAAACTTTAACAAGTAAGAAATGCTACAGAAGCAAACAAAAAGCTTAATTTAGAGAAATATTGTTATACTCTGGATAATTTAGACAAATCACAAAAATGCAAGAAAAAGTCAAGTGATGTTCAATAGGAAGGACATTTTACTGTATCATGATAATGCAAGGCTGCATGCCGCTTTGAGGACTTGTCAAAAAAATTGAAAAACTATGCTGGAAAATTATGTCGCATTCACCATTTTCCCCAGACTTAGCGTCCCCAACTATCAATTGTTTGTGTCCTTACACTGCTTTTGGAATGGCAAAAAATTCAAAAACCAAAAAGATTTCAAACAAGCTTTGGTTAAGTTTTTTGAATCAAAGGAATATACAAAATATACCATCACGCTGGCTAGCAGTCATTCAAAATAATGGCAATTATATTATTCAATAAAGTTTATAGGTGATATCAAAAATGTGTATTTTTTTTTGTTCTGAAAATAAACAGAACTTTCCAGTAGACCTAATATATATATATATATATATATATATATATATATATATATATATATATATATATATATATATATATATATATATATATATATATATATAATATATATATATATATATATATATATATATATATATATATATATATATATATATATATATATATATATATATATATATATATATATATATATATATATATATATAGACATATATATATATATACATATATATATATATATATATATATATATATATATATATATATATATATATATATATATATATATATATATATATATATATATATATATATATATATATATATATATATATATATATATATATATATATATACGGTATCATTGGGCCGTCTAAAACCCACATATATATATATATATATATTTATATATATATATATATATATATATATATATATATAAATATAAACATTTAGAATGTTTTTAAAAATATTCTAAATCTTTCTAAAAACATTCTAAATGTTTTTAAAAACATTCTACTACTACTAAATTTTTATCAAAATATATATAGAAATATATATATATAAAAATATATATATATAGAAATAATTTGCAAATGCATTCTAATTTGTTTAAAAGTAAATTTTAAAAAAAAATTCTAAATGTTTTTAAAAACATTAGAATGTTTTTAAAATCATTCTAAATGTGTTTATTTTATTTTTATTTTTTAACCGTTATTTAACCGTAAAACATGTGCGGGGTGTTGCTACATCAACTATCTTATAGCCTGACTCACAACAGACTGTTGTTACATTGACTGACAAATAGCCTGATTCGTAACAGAGTGCTGCTACATCGACTGTCAAATAGCCTGACTGGCAATGAAGTGCTGCTACATCAACTAGGAAATAGCCTGACTTGCAAGGGAGTGCTGCTACATCGACTGAGGGTTTGGTTTGGGCAGGCTATCAAATAACTTATAAAACTAACATAATGTAAATAAATATTCACATTATTGCAAGAATATATTTTTACATTTCATTCATTTAAGCCACAATCGACAAGTTTTTCTACTGTTACTGAATATTTCGATTTAAAAAGTTAGTTTTATAAAAGTTTTATAAAAATTTAAACCTTTTTTATTTCATTTGAATTTATTACTTTTAAATTATGAGAATATTCGATGCATTTGTAATTAAACCTTTTGTAACCTTTTGTGTCAGTACATTTTTGTGTGAATATTTTAGCACATCAATATCAAATTAAATAAAATATGAATTATAAGGATTCATCTATATTTTAAAATTATGTTTGATACTGAATTCGCATTAAAGAACAGACTCGTTTTATAGCATGTAAAATATTTTAATAGAAAACATAATTCATTACACATGATACTATTATAAGACACAACTAGCATTACTACTATATTTTAAGTAAAAAATTTTCGACTTAAAAAAGAAATAAAAATAATTTAAAAAGAAAAGAAACTTTCAAAAAAATTTATATCTTTATAGCCTAGAATTTTTATAGTTTTGTTTAAAGTAGTAGTAGTTTTTATTACAAGGAAATTTACGCTTAGCTAGAATGCTAGGCGTAAATTTCTCAAACATGTAGCCAACAACTAGAACACTGTGCGAAATGTTTAAATTTAGGCAACTACTGGACATTTTTCATGAATACAACATCTTTTCATTTATTGCAAATGCTATCCAAAAGTAGTTTTTTAACATAAAAGTTGGAGGTATATATACTTAGTCAATAGTTTAACAAGACTGCGGCTTTGTGTAACTTAATTAGCAATATCAAAAAATAAAAAGAAACCTGTTATAGTTCCTTTAATTTATTATTAAAATTCTTATTTTTTATTATTATTTTATATTTAGTTTTAAAAGATGATTCGTTTAAAGGTATATTTGTCATTTAAATATACATTTCTCATTAAAAGATTTCTCATTTATAAATAAAAAAAAATTGTTCAATAATTCCAAAAAATTATTTAAGATATATAATTTTTTAAATATATATATTTTTTAATTGTTGGCCACAACACCAGCTGGCACAAATTATTCTAAATTTCTAAATTTCGATAAAGCATCCCAGCATTTCTATTAGTGCTAAACAGCAAATGACAAAAGTTATCTGGTCTTCCAATTCCTTATTTTTAGCCAGATTATCCATGTATCTTCTAGACTTTACTTAGCCTCAAAGAAAAAGTTTAGGGTGTGATATCACAAGATTTTGATGACTAGCTAACCAGTATAAGGATTAAATGTTCACAAAAAGAGTTCTCACAATAAAATCATGCTATTATATTTTCACAAATAGTGCCAACCTGCTGGAACCAAACTATATTATCTCCAAAAAGATCCCATATTAGGCACCATATTGGGCTTCATTGATAGATATGTTCTGGTCAGCCTAATTTTCAAAGAAATATAGACCAACAACTCTACCAGCCCAAAGAGCACACCACACAATATATTTGAACTAGATTGATTAATTCAAAAGCACAAAGCAATAGCTGTCTTTGAACAAAAATTTTTATAATATAACTGAACAATATGTAAGCACTGTGCCCGGCTAAATTTTTTTTATGACAAAATGTCAAGTTATAGTAAAAAAAATATACAACTACATAAAGAAACAGCTCATTCACCAGCAGCCATGGTCCTAATTTGAAAAAAGGTAACTATAAAAGAAATTATTACCTTTTATTATTAAACCAATACTTAAAATATTGTTAGGGTTTTAAACATGCTAAAAGCCATAATGTGTATGTACCATTATATAATGGTGCATAAAAATAAGAGCTTGTATATGATATTAACAATTAAAAAACAACTTTTAAATCAAGAGACAATTAAAAAAAAAAAAAAAACATTAAACAAAAATATCTTTTGTGTATGTATTATTACAATAATTAACAAATATTTCTGTAATATATAAGTCATTTAACAATTTATGAAACAAAATAGCTAAAAAACTAATGCACAAAAATATCACCTGAATTCACATAAAACTATTGCATAAAAATATGATCTAAGATCAAATTTTAGGTTTTGAAACTAACCTGTATTTGAACAACTTCTGACTTATATTCATTGTCAAATGAAAGACATATGTTTTTGTATTCTGTATTGATTTTGAAAACAGCATTCACGGGAACCTTGATTTCAGCAAGATGCCCCAAAATAGATACATCTGTTAAACCAACTACTATAATATAACAATCTGGATCTTTTTCTCCATCAGGTTCATCATCTTAAAAGAATGTTTGCTCCTATTAAACTTTTTTTTTTCAAATAATAAACTTTTATATTTTTACATAAATATTAGTTTCATACATAATTTAATTTTTTTTTTTTTAATTATTGAATATAATAATTAACTATTTTAAAAATTTACATACATACTAGTTAAGGTTATATTAAAAAGATATTAAATTTCTTAAAATCTTGCTTTCTTTTTTTGTCAAAATTGTTGACAAAAAAAGAAATCAAGTCTATTATGATAAGACATAATTATTCATCTTTTTTTTTTTTTTTTCTGAAAAATAGCATACAGACCTAATATAAACATATATATATATATATATATATATATATATATATATATATATATATATATATATATATATATATATATATATATATATATATATATATATATATATATTATATATATATATATATATATATATATATATATATATATATATATATATATAGACATAGATATTATAACACAGGCAATGCAAAACAGATTTATAAAATTAAATTATAGAGACTTACACTAAATTTCAGATATAACAGAGTTTATTATGAAAGTTTTCATTTACAGAAACTAACAAGGAGTGAATGCAAACATCACATTAATATAAAAACATTAGAACCTGTAGCTCAGAATTTATCAATAAATTCTTTAAATAATTTCTAAAGTATACAGAAGTTAAATTTTGGATAAAGAAATTACAAATCGCAAAAAATGTTTAGATCGTATTCTATAATATTTTTGTATAATGTATAATTAAAGGTTCAATATTAACACTAAATGTTCTGAATGTTACATCTACCACACAGTTCCCTCTGGTTAGAAAGGTACAGCTCAAATGACTTGATAAATGACAATGAAAAATAAAGAACTAAAAAAAATTAGAAAGAAATCACTAATTTAAGGATATTGGTTGAACAAGTTATTAGATATATTAAATATATATATATATATACATTTTATGTGCATATATATATATATATATATATATATATGTATATATATAAATATATATATATATATATATATATATATATATTTATACATATTTATATATATGTATATATATATATATATATATATATATATATGTATACATATATATATATATATATACATATATATATATATATATATGCATATATAAATGATCATATATGCATATATATGAGCATATATACATATATATGCATATATGCATATATATATGCTTATATGCATATATATATATATATATATATATATATATATATATATGCATATATATATATATATATATATATATATATATATATATATACATATATATATATATATATATATATATATATATATATATATATATGCTTATGTGCTTATATATATATATATATATATATATATATATATATATAATATATATATTATGTGCGCTCGTTTAGCACCACTTCATTCTATCACCTTTCTCTTTGTTCTATTTTGTTCTCCTTTATCTCAATACTGCACTCTTCTTGATGTTATTTCTGATTATATTGACAAAGTCCTCATTCTTTATCCTTCAGCCAATATTGTTGCTGTCGGTGACTTTAATGTTTATCACAATGAATGGCTTTGCTCTAGTGTCAGTTACTGCAGGCATTAAGCCCCACAACTTTTGCTTTTCTCAATCCCCAACTCAAATAATCAATTTTCCATCTCGCTTTCCAGACAACCCGAATCATTTACCTTCTCTAGTTGACTTATGTCTTGTTTCTGATCCTAGTCAGTGCTCAGTTTCTCCACACTAACCCTTAGGTGCTTCTGATCATGGTTTGGTCTCTCTAAAACTATTATATCATTCTTCTTTACCATGAGAATCCCCCTATCATCGTACATCTTACAACTACCTTAAAGCTGACTAGGACTCTTTCTGTGATTTTCTTCGTGATGGCCCCTGGGTAGAAATCTTTCGTCTTCCTGTTGACAAATGTGCTTCTTACATAATTTCGTGGATTCAGGCTGGCATGGAATCCTTTATTCCCTTACGATTCCAGGTCAAGCCTCTCTCTTCTCCATGGTTGTCCTCACATTGTGATGCTGCAATTGCCAATCAAAACCATTACTTCCATATCTATCAGCAAAACAATTCTCCAGAAAACAGATGTATGTTTATTACTGCTAGGAACCATTGTAAAAAGGTATTGTCTAACGCCAAAGCCCGCTATTCTCAGACCATGAAATCTCGCATTTCATCACAAAAATTAGGCTTTCATGACTACTGGAGAATCTTTAATAGTATTAATAATAAGGGCAAGTCTGTGATTCCACCTCTTTTGTATGGTTCAAACTTTGCCACCTCACCTAAAGACAAAGCTGAATTGTTTGCCAAGAACGTTTCATCAATATCATTACTTGATCAATATCATCTCTTGATTCCACTAGTTGCATTCTACTAGATAAAGGTGGAGAGTTTAAGGCCATCGCTCTTGACATTTCTAAAGCATTTGATAAAGTTTGGCATGCTGGTCTTCTCCATAAGCTTTATTCTAAGGGTGTATCTGGAAACATCTTTAAAATTATTGAATCCTTCCTTTTCAATCGTACTATAAAAGCTGTCCTCGATGGACAGCACTCTTTTTCTTATTCTGTAACCTCAGGGGTTCCTCAAGGTTCAATCCTTGGCCCTATACTCTTTTTAATTTACATTAACGATCTTCCAGATATTCTCACATCTAAGGTGGCATTGTTCGCTGATGATACTACAATTTATTCTTGTCATGGTAAGAAGCCAACTCCCTCTGATTGCATGCAGGGGGCATCTGAGCTTGAAAAGGATCTCACTTCTGCTACAGCATGGGGCTCACAGTGGCTGGTGAACTTTAATTCAGATAAAACTCAATTTTTTTTAGCCAATCGTTATCACAATAATTTAGATCTTCCTATATTTATGAACGGTAATGTACTCAATGAGTCTCCTACCCTTTATCTTCTAGGAATAATTCTTACTTCTGATTTTTCTTGGAAACCTTATATCAAATCCGTTGCAAAATTAGCATCTGCTAAAGTTGCTTCTCTTTATCCAGCTCGACACTTTCTTACTCTGGATTCAATTATCTATCTCTATAAATCTCAAATCCGGCCTTGTATGGTATACTGTTACCATATCTAGGGCGGATCTTCTAATGATGCCCTTTCTCTTTTAGACAAGGTGCAAAAACGCATTGTAAACATAGTTGGACCTGTTTTTGCAGCCGACCTTCAACCTCTGTCACATCGTCATAATGTTGCTTCTCTTTCTCTTTTCTACAAATACTATAATGGGCACTGCACTAAAGAGCTAGCGTCTCTTGTGCCATCTACTAAAATTCATTCTCGTGTTACTTGTCATTCAATTAAGTCTCATCCTTTTTCTGTTACTGATCCTAAGTGCTCCAAAAACTCTTACTCGTCTATTTTTTTTTCCTTGAACATCAGTTCTTTGGAATTTGCTTTCTTCATCTTGCTTACCTGATTCATATAACTTGCAATCTTTGAAATCGTCTGTCAATCGTTATCTTGCTCTGCAATCTTCATCTATTCTCTTCCAGTAACTTCCAACACTAATTAGTGGTTGCTTGCAGCCTTGTTGGAAGCAAAAATATTTAAAAAAATATATATATATATATATATATATATATATATATATTTATTATATATATATATATATATATATATATATATATATATATATATATATATATATATATATATATATATATATATATATATATATATATATATATGTAATATTTTTATTGTTACTGTTAGTATTGTTACTAATAATATTCCTCTTCATCATCATCTTATTATCATTGTTTTTATTTTTTTTATAATTTTTATCATTACTATTATTATTATTGTTATTAGTGTTATTATATATATTATTATCATTATTATTGTAATGTTGCTGGTTTTTACTTTAAATTAGTACTTGTACTATTTGTAAAAGTCCTTGAAATTTTACAACTTATTTTAGAATATATATATATATATATATATATATATATATATATATATATATATATATATATATATATATATATATATATATATATATATATATATATGTAATATTTTTATTGTTACTGTTAGTATTGTTACTAATAATATTCCTCTTCATCATCATCTTATTATCATTGTTTTTATTTTTTTTATAATTTTTATCATTACTATTATTATTATTGTTATTAGTGTTATTATATATATTATTATCATTATTATTGTAATGTTGCTGGTTTTTACTTTAAATTAGTACTTGTACTATTTGAAAAAGTCCTTGAAATTTTACAACTTATTTTAGAATATATATATATATATATATATATATATATATATATATATATATATATATATATATATATATATATATATATATATATATTGTTGTTGTATGATTTAGTATTAAAAATACTAAACTCTTGATCGTTATAGAGTGCTCAATATTTAAGAAATATTTAGTTTTTCAAAAACAGAGCGTTTTATACTTAAATATAGAAAAACAACTTTTAATGGAACTTAAAGTTTCATGCCTATCAGCAATCATCAGCCATGAAGTACAAAATCAAAAGTATAAAAAACCGTCTAAAATTAGTTGTTTGTAACTTTTAGACGGTTTTTTATATTTTTGATTTTGTACTTCATGGCTGATGATTGCCGATAGGCATGAAACTTCAGATTCCATTAAAAGTTGTTTTTTCTATATTTAAGTATATATATATGTATATATATTATATATATATATATATATATATATATATATATATATATATATATATATATATATATATATATATATATATATATATATATATATATATATATATATATATATATATGCAGCCCTCGGAATTAGGAGGGCTGCATATATATATACATATATATATATATATATATATATATATATATATATATATATATATATATATATATATATATATATATATATATATATATATTTGTGTTTTAAGTCAGCAAAGAGTCGCTAACCTATATAT